AGGCACTAAGGTATTGTACTGTACTGTCGTTGCTAGCTGGCAGGTTGCAGGCAAAACTTCATTATGTTGTTCATCTGCTATGGTCAAAGCACTTATAACCTAACCAATCAATGGGTACAGGACATTCGGTCCGACTTTCTTCTGTCAATTTCTCACGTCTGGTTTTGACTTCGCTTTTGTGTTGGAGCAAGATTGATTGGCACATAACCTCTCAGTTATTCCATATCAAGTATTAAACAGCGCCACCATGAGACTTGCTCTTGGAATGGAATTTCACTCAGACAAAGCCTTCGTGGACTACGTTAAAGACTACTAGTACGCTCTAAGCGAGAACAAGCATGTTTGAGTGAAGTCTCGTGGTGGGAACAATAGAACGGTATTTTGGTCATCCGCCCTTCTTCATGGACGATACTTTGGCGCAGCCGGTTGCAGCAGCTGCGTCACAACCGCGCTTCCAAATGCGCGAAACCGTTTGTTGGCTGACATTGAACTCCAACATCAACTTCTTCATGTCGCCTTTATCCACGCGTCCGTCCTTCTTGAGTTGGAGGAGGCGGCGGTAAATGGCCGACCTTTGGTCGTCCGTGAGCTCACGACCGGTCGTAGCCCTCGGCACGCTGCACTTCCCGTAGCTTGCCTTCCAGAAATTCTGGTTGCTAGCAGTAACTACGCAACGAGAGGAGTCGATTGCGCGAGATTTCAGCTCAAACGGACAAATTTGCATGAGCTGCACTGTTTTTTAGATTTCGTTGGTCCATGGCTAAAGTTTGGCGACGTGCAACTCGGTCACTACAGCCAATAAAATTATCCTGAAAATAGACCCATATAGAGTATTTGATTGGCTTTCGAATGCGCCTGTTTAGGCCACCACCGACGCAATCTTCATTGATTGATACATCTGTCGGAATAAAATAGCCCCTGGTTGTGTGGCTAAGTTATTTTGAGGTCAGAGAGCTTGCAAATACCGCGTATCATACTGTAGTAATTTCAATTTTGACCAAGTCATGATTTTGCGCATATACTGTATAACTCAAATTGGCGGAATACAGTGATTCGAGGAAATGGGGAAATATGGAAAAATTGCACTATTGTTATCGGCCGAGCCTCCCCGTAGTCGAACAGAGGCTCGGCCGATAACACTTCCCCCCCTACATTGGGTGGCCTCGTGAGATCGTCAACCATTTCGCTCACGCCGTCTTCGTTGCTCCGAGCCTTGGTCCAGCGACGGAATAGCACGGGAACGTCTTCGTAGATCGATAGGACCGGTTCCCAGGACGACTCCAGATCGTCTAGGCCAAGCCACTTGATCAGGACTTCCCAGACCCCATCTCGCAGACGCAGGTCCCGGAGGTCTTCCACGTAAAAACCTTCATCGCCGAACGCGATTTGGGTCTTCAAATCATCATTGACTTCACGTCCGCCCTCGCAGTACAGGTGGAGCCGGCACGCATGGTGCAGGGACGTCGCTCCCGGAGGCACCAGCTGCTGGACTTCCATCAGGTAGTCGGAGACCACCTTCACGACCCGAAAGGGTCCCTTCCAACGCAACGTTAGCTTTCCCGGATGCTGGAGAGCCCGGGCCACCAAAACAAAATCGCCTAGCGTAAATTTCGACAGCTTCACTGAACGTTGGCCATCACGACGGTCCCAGGCCTTAGCGCGCTTTGCTGCCGCCGTCTCTGCCACGTGCTTGTGCATAACTCCCAGGGCATCTACGAGCTCTGTCACGTGGCATATCGCCTGGGACTAAATCCAGTCGATCGTTACCTCCCGGGGCTCGTAAACGCCGTCGTTGGCGCTACGCCATCCAAACGGTCGGCCGACTGCTGATTCAGGGCAGACTGTACGATGAGTAACACCCCCGGCCAGTCTCCGGGTTGCAAGCGCATCTCGCTGCACATGGTCTTTAGGGTCCGGTCGACGATCTGGTTCACCACCTCAACTGTCCCGTTGGCCCAGGGGCAGTGTGGTGTGACAAAATGATGATGAACACCAAACATACGACCCAGGGTACTGACCTGTTCGTTCTTGAAATGGGACCCAGAGTCGGATACCCAGGTTCTGACCACCCCGAACAATCCAAATCATTCCATCAACGCCGCGGTCGACTCTGCTGCAGACGCTGTCGTACTGGCATGTAACCGAACGAACCCGCATATGTCATTCTTGATGACCAGGACGTATTTCAGGCCTCCCGGAGCCTCCGGGAGCGACAGCCAATCGAAATGAATCAACTCATTTGGCTTCGTAGCATGCAGCTCTTCACCCCAGGGACGGGGTACCGACTCACCATCGACCACCATACAATGCAGGCAGGCAGTGACGAAGTTCTTCCCGTCGGTCTTCAGGGTAGGCCAATCAAACATCTCCGCAACAGATGCCGTTGTCGCTTCCACTCTCCGGTGTCCCGCCACGCCGGCATGGGCCACCACACATATACGCACTTGCATATCCAATGCATCTCCCGGGATCCAGATCTTTCCAGCTGCCGTCAGAAAACACGTCTTCTCGGCGCTCCAGGAGGCGTATTTTTCACATGTCGGATGGCCGCGCTGCAATTCCGTGATCGCATTCGCCG